ACCGATCCTTCGCAACGAGCTCTCTAGAAAACCCCTAAACCCTTAACCCTAACCCCTAACCCCTAAACCCCTAAACCCCTAAACCCTAAACCCCTAAACCCCAAGCTCTAAGCCCTGCGACGAGCCTAGACCCCCCAACTACCCTCTAATGTACCCCAAATACCCACAATTAAGGACCATAAGGGCTCCATTAAGGGGCCCTTGGGGGTCCTGGAGGTGCCAGCGAACAATCCGCAGCTTGCGGGAAAGGGCAGCTGAACTGCAGCAGATCCTCAAAGCAACGGAGGACGGTCTTAGTTTGCTACTGTAGGGTTTAGAGTTTGGGGTTTAGGGTTTAGGGTTTAGGGTTTAGGGTTTAGGGTGTAGGGTTTGGGTTCAGGGTAAAGGGTTTAGGGTTTGGGGTTTAGGGTTTAGGGTTTAGGGTTTGGGGGTTGGGGTTTACTACTGTAAGGCCCAATAAAAACCATAAGCATGAGCACTGTACAGACACATTGTTGGGCTTCATTCTAGGGGGGTCTACAGGGGATGTCCCTGTTTTATGTGTTGCTTATGTGCTTTTGGGGGGCCCTGGCTGAAAGCTCGGGTGTGTGCATGTGTCTACAAATCTACAAGTGTGTATGAAGTGTATGAGTAAATGCTCGCAGGTGTGCATGTGATGCTATGCTGTGCAACGCGACCAAATGTACCTAATGATTCATTGATCGCTTGTAGGGAATGCAATGTGGTGCTATGAAATGTACTGTGTCACGCGGTTGTGAGCGGCATTGTGTTGTGTCCAGTTACGTAAGGGTACGCTGTTACCCTTCAGTATACCTACATTGTGTTGTAGTGTGCCGGGCTCTGCTACGTTTTGACATGCCGTGTTGCGCTGTTATGCAGTCATGCTTCGTTGTGCTACGGTGTTTTGGGTCATATCCTTTTTAGGTCCCACATGTGCCACGTACTCATAGAGGGGCCCTTGCATCGAGAATAGGGTTTGGAAGATTATATGTTCCAGTATTATGTGATACGGCTCTAGGGGAGGTTATTATGAATTATTGCGGCTTCTATACTCGGCAAAGCTGGGCGCCAGCTCACTGCTGCAGGAGACGCAGATCGAGGAAGAGAATTTAGATGACCTTCGGACAGGCCCCAGAAAAGGTAGGGCTACCTTTGTCAGGGGTTTTTTTTTTAAAGGATCCGAGTAGTTAGGATTCTAACTGAGGGCCCTCTGTCTGGCCCAATCACGCCCAAGGCGACTCGGGTTTGGGCCCTGACTCCAAAGCTGAAATCTTGGTTCTTAAATCGCAGCGCCCCAAAATCTAAAACTGGAGCCTAAATCTTTAAGACTCTAAAGCCCCAAAGCCCAATGCCCTCAACCCTAGGCCGACGTTAAACATTTCGGCTTTAGGGACTCGGGTTTGAGGTTTCTCAGAGTTTCAGATGCCAGTTGCCTGCCAGGGGTGCTGGATGATGGCTGGGCCAGAACAGCTGAGCCAGAAGCCGCGCCGAGCCAGTCCCTGCACGTCACCGGGCTCTTGCAAGGCGGGGTCGGACAAGAAAAACCCTGGAAAAAACGAAGCCCTCAAGCTCAAATCCTGAAGCCCATGAGCCTCAAACCCACAGCATATGTCTTCTTCGCAGGCATTGAAGAGTCCACGCTGCAGAGGCTGCGGATTAATTGTGAGTTTTGTTTCTTGGCCTCAACTCACCACTGAACTGTGTGTTGTTAAATATAGCTTTTTGCGTATGATACACAGTCCAAATTACCTGCAGTCCTAACCGATGATGGCCTCTATCGCAACCACCTTACAGTAATACATCCTGATGGCGACGGTAGTGCAGCGGTCGGAAGGTGCTTCGGAAGAGCAGGGAAGGTGGAGGAGATCCGCTTCCTGCCGCAGGACTCTGCCGAGCGTATGAGTTAGGTGACGGTAGTGATTGCTACTGGGTGCTCTTCGCATCGTTGGTGCTGCTCGTTCTGTCTTAACTTCATGATGGTAATGGCGACCTCTGTGTTTGTGCTCTCATGACGGAAACTATTGCCACGACTATCAGCTGCGTTACAGTCGTGGGGGCTACTGCTATGATTGCATCGTGCACCTTGGTCACGATGAGTACTGTAGCATTTTCTTTATGCCTGCTAGACTCATGAACTTCATGAACCATTCTGAGAGTGTGACAACACACATGCTTTCCTGCGTTCAAGGCCAGGGGACAGAGCAAAATGGTTCTTGGGAGGGGTTGAAATTGACAGCGTTCGAAACGTGCTCTCGTGATAGCTTCGGGTGCTTCTGCACGGATCTTGAAGCGCTTGAAGTGCATTTGGAACACCCTTTATGGTGTTGCAATGTTGGGCGTCTGCCTTTAGGCTTGTTAGTCTGCTGTCTTCTCAATCGGTAACATATACCATCAAATTAGTTCTCGAATCTCTCGCAGTCTCTCGAGCTGTCTTCGGCCGACTTAGGGGCTGAACACGTGCAGCGTGTCGGGGTTGGGATTCGGGTTGGGATCAAACGTCGGTTGGGATGCTCTGCAGATGACACGAACAGAACTTGATTGTTCATGTTGACAGTAGCACCGTGGTCATGAAATTTCTTGGTCTTCATTGTGGGCACAGGATCAAGCCATGGCATCGAGATGCTCTGCCCTGGTTCGCATGTCGAGCTGCGATGAGGCAGATAGTGCTTGGCATCAAAAGTAGTGGCCTAAATAATTACCTATGCTATTTTTTGGGTTCCTTACTACTTTTATTACAGTATAACATACCCTCAAAGCCCTATTCTAATTATTAAGGTGCCTACATTGGGCGTTTTCAGGCCAAAGTGGCCAGAGAGAAGCTCGACGGCATCATTCCGGAAGGCACTGGATTCGAAATGGAGCGCCGCTTGGAAGAGTTGAGCTATGCAGCTGCTGCGACAACCGCGCGACGACGAAGAAGATGGCGACGACTACTGGCTATAGGGAATGTAGCCCAGTATACTATACTATACTATACGATACGATACTATACTATACTATACTATACTGTACTATACTATACTATAATACTATTAGATAAATTATCCTGCTCCTGCTGCACTAGCTTGACTGCCACTATGATTACCTGGGAGTATTACATACTATTGATACTACAAGTGCTACTAGGGTTGCATTAACGACGATGACGACGACAAAACAACCAGCAGCAGCACCATGACAAAGTTCAGAGGCAGATATTCCAACTGTCCTGAGCTTCTTCCCCGCAGCTCCAGCTCTAAACCCCTAAGCCCCAACTAACCCTAACCCTAACTAACCCTAAACTCTGTCCCCAGTTCCTTGGCAAGGAAATCTGATGATCACCTTCCAGGCCTGACGCGCAGCTCGAGGGTTTTCTTTGTTGTCGGCTCGTCGAGGGTTTAGGGTTTAGGGTCCCTAAACCCCTTTGAACCCTAAACCCTAAACCTTAAACCGTGTTCAGGTGAAGAACGGCATTCAAGTTTGCGATCACCTCTTCGTTAGAGGTATTCCATCAGCCGTGCAGAAGCACCAGGCAGGCAAGCCTTTCAGCCATGGGGTGGATGTGTTGATGTTTACTGCTCGGCCGGACACAGGTTGCATCCCTCTTCAACCGTTATGGAGAGGTTCTGTGGTCGAGTCGCTTGCATGAGTTTGGACGCGCAGCAAACATACTGCCAGTACTGCAAGTATCGTGTGTCATTCCTATGAGAAGCCCCCTAAATCCTAAACCTACTGCGGGATGTGAAGCCGAAGCCCTTAACCCGAGCCAAGGCATTCTCCCGCCGCGCATGGACGAGCAGGCTTGACTCAAAGCTACAGCAGTAAGAATAGTTCTACTGTTACTGCCAGTGGCAAGTAAGGCAAGAGCCATGTTTTCGTAGTGTATACTACAACTAGTAAGGCTAGGCGACAGTGTCAGTTTGCCCACCGGCTTGGGATGGAGTAGCCGGGGCTGGCCATAACAGGAGTGCTGATGTTTTCCGAGCCCAAGTCTGCAGGATCGCTGTGCCCTTGTCCAAATGGCCAGCAGCGATCAGGCAGCTCTTGCAAGCATTATTTTGATGGATCTGACTGCGGTTCATGTCCGATCAACTGTATGCAGATGTGGCTGGCACAGACGGAGATGTCTCTAGCAGTGCTGCACCACACTGCATCAGGCACAGAATGCTATCCAAGCGCTGAATTGGACGACTTCTTCAGCGCTCATGCCGGCCATGATGGTGCGGTATGCTGGTCACAAGGCAGGCCTTGCTAAATTCACGGCATATGGGAGTTTCCGAAAATTAGGGGGTAGGGGTCCTTATCATAGGGATCCTATTATTTAGGGTACTATATTAGGGTCCCCTATTTTCTGAAACTCCCATATCAGCAAAGAGTTGCAGACGATTGTCACTTGGACCCGATAGCTTCCGTCATCTAACTCAGGTCTTCGCGGCATTGAGGGCCAATGACGATGGCATTGAGGCCCAACCGTGCGCTAGGAAAGGCTGCATGGCTCACGACCCCAGGTTGCGAGTTGTCACTTTTTGAGAGCTACAAACTGCTGACTGCCCTACTGATGTAATGTTTAAACCCTAAACCCCAAGCCCTAAACCTTTACAGTCTACAGGAGGCAGACCAAGGGTCTGAAGAGGAAGAAGATGATGATGACTACGCGCATTATGGGGCGCCTTGGCACGGAAAGCGTCCCAAACCCGTTTGAATGGGACTAGACCATCCCATGGTTTCGGGTTTCGGGGATTCGGGGTTCAGCATTGAGGGGTTCAGAGTTTAGGGTTTGATTATGGGGTTTAGGGTTTGGCCCTGTAGCCCCGCTTTTGAGGGTTCAGGGTTTATGGGTTTGGTGTTTAGGGCTTGACCCTGTAACCCAAGCCGCTGCAAATCCTAAGTGCTGGAAGTTCCAGCACATTTGCTGCTGAGGTCATCGAAGAAGCCCCGAAGCCAGCGTTCCAGCCCCTGAAAGAGAGGCCAGACAGACAAGGGAATTGAACATAACGGCGTGGCGTTCTTGGCATTCTGAGACTGTGATGCTACATTGTTTTATGTTGCCCGTAAATGTGTTCGAAGCATAAATACCTACTTTGTGGGGACGATTCCGTAAGCTGAAAGTCTTGATCATGCAGATCTCATTTCTTGAAATCATGCGGAGTAGCACAGCTAAACGCTCAAGCACTAAAGTACCGTTCTGGCAGGCCAGTGGAGATGGGCTCGAGGTGGAAGAAGCATGAGGACCTGCTTGCAACATCGCGCGGGTTTGCGGAAAACTGCGCCTTCATACAGAAGTTAGGATTTCGGGTGACGGGCGAGAGTTTGGCGTGCCGAAGCGCTACAGTATGAACTGCAGCGGTATGCGAATAGCAGCAATTGCATCAGCATCTCAGCAATTGACTGAGTCGCGTCATTTTGAGTAGTTAGTGGATCTGCCTGTCTAACCTACTAGATTGTTAAGTTATGGTCCTGTGTGGATTGAGGTAAGTTGCTTGAGCTGTTTATGATTTGCCTGTCTACCCTAGTAGATTGTTATGTTATGGTCCTGGTGTAAGTTGTTTGAGCTGTTTATGATTCTAGATTTTCTCAGCGATAGCCCTTCATGAAAACTACCTACACTTTGCGTGCGCAGCATCATCTGAGTCTGCTTGCTTGTCTATTTGAAGGGTTTCCGAAAGTAGGGGACCCTAATATAGTACCCTAAATAGTAGGATCCTTATTATAAGGACCCCAAAATAAGGTACCCCCTAATTTTCGGAAACTCCCATCTACGCAACCGAGGGTGCTCCCTAAACCCTAAACCCTAAACCCTACACCCCTAAACCCTAAGCCCTAAACCTGCTGTGTCACTGCAGCAGGAGGCGGACGATGATGGGCCCGAGGGAACTCGGCCGGGGTCACGGCCTGCACGATCCGTTGAATCATGGCCACCAAATGGGACTTTCCGAAAATTAGGGGTACCTTATTTTAGGGTCCTTATAATAAGGATCCTACTATTTAGGGTACTATATTAGGGTCCCCTATTTTCGGAAACCCCCAGATGATAGCCGTAAAGTACTATAAGGGCATACTGGAGCAGTGATATCACCCTACACATATCAGCAACGGAACTATGTCATGCTGTCATGATCTCATGAGATGAAAGTACCATCTCGTTTGCAACGTTGCCAGTTGTTCGAGGCTGTGGGGGTGGGCGATGCAGCCAGTGAAAGAGAAGGAGGAGTTCCCCGAACTGGGCCAGCAAAACTCGGCTGGGGGCTCGTGCTTAGAACGACAAGCATGACCCCTACACCCTAAACCCTATTCCCTGAGCCACACACCCTAAACCCTAAACCCCTAAACCCTAAACCCCTAAACCCCTAAACCCTAAACCCGAGATGGATGGGCGTAGGGACGGGGGAATGGATTGTCCAGGCGGCCCTTGCGGACGACTCGGAGTCCAAGCTCGGGCAGCCTGTCCAGCAGGTGGAGATGTGGTCTGAAAAACAGATCAACCTTAAAGCATTGACATAGAAGGTTCTCTTCTACCATATCATATTATAGTATATTATATTATAGATTATAGTGTGTTCAATTGTGTTATGTACCTTCCATATGCAGGTTGTCATAACGCATTATCTATCTCGCTTTAGCAGACCAGTTCAGCCGTCTTCACAATAAAGTGGAAAAGCCCGATGGCAAGCAAACCTTCGACATCCGGCAGTAGCGACATTCTAATGGTACAATGGTTGCAGCACTCCAGAAAGACCGATACAGCGTTCTATCGAGTCTTTTTCTTCTTCTTCTTCTTTAGTTAAAGATTCGCACTCAGCGGTGTAGCTGTCTCGCAGTACTCGCAGCAGTAGTAGTGGAAGCAGTAGTGGCGGCAGCTGTACCGGTGGTGGTAGTAGTAGTAGTAGTAGTAGTAGTAGTAGCAGCAGCAGCAGCAGCAGCAGTAGTGGCAACAGTAGTAGCAACTGCAGCAGCAGCAGCAGCAGCAGCAGCAGCAGCAGCAGCAGCAGCAGCAGCAACAGGAGTAGTGTGAGCAGTAGCAGCAGCAGCAGCAGCAGCAGTAGCAGCAGGACACCGTCGTGGTGTGGCGGTGATGCTTTGTAGTTTCGTGGCTGACGTAGCACATCGATAAGCAGTTTTAGCGGTAAAGAATTTCACTACACTGCTCCACTGTACTGCAGAGCCAGTCTATCAACCAACGAACCCTAGACCCTAAACCGACTGTCGCCAGGTCCAAAACGGATATCCTGGCCAGGTGGAGTCTTGGGAGGCGATGCCAGCAAAGTGCTCAGGATAGTAAGAAAATACGTCGTAGATCGTAAATAGGAACGATAGTAACATTCATAGTAATAGTACTCATGATGGTAGCAATGTTAATAATGATATGAGTATTATTAAGTTCATGGTAGTTAGAGTAACAGGACAATGATAATCATGGTACGAGTAATAATGTTATTGACAACACTCATCATCATAATCACAATCAAAATATTGAGTAGCTTTAGCATGAGCAGTGTCGGAAGTTTGTCACGGTTGCGAAGAAGTCCAACAAGGCATGTCCTTCATGTCGTGGCCCTGCTCAATCTGTGGGAGTCTCATGATCATGGTTTTCTGTGCCTGTCAAACTGGTGCGTGACCGCGTTTCGAAACCGGAGGAGCGGGAGGTGGAGCAGGGGCCGTGCGAGTTCTTGTGCATGAAGGCCAGGCATCTTATCCGGAAGATGCTTTAGCCAAGGTGAGTTTTGATATCTGCTTCTGGTACGTCTGCTGCCACTACTGCTACGGCTACGAAGCTACGGCGACTACCTTCAGCACCTTGCTGGTGCTGGTGCTGGTAGTCGCTATTCTATTTGGGCTCATCTTCTCAGGATGCTCCTTCTGGCCTCCCGGAGTCCGTCATGTGGCGAGCCTACAGAAGTGGTTGTGAGGGCTGTAGATTCTTATAGAGAGGGGGTGAGGAAGGAAGGGGCTTGACACTTCTTGCCGAATGAGGGTCCTTTTGAAGCTGAGTCGTTCTAACTCAATTGACTTTCTTGCGGAGAGCAGTTAACAGCTGCTTGTACCTGAGACAAAACTGCAAAATTACACACGAATAATGATGACAACAACAACAACAACAACCGCAAAAACAACCACAACCACAACCGCAACCGCAACAGCAGCAACAGCATTCGTAACACTAATAATAACGATTGTAATAGCAATGATAATAACGACAACCAGAATAAGAATAGTAATAGCAACAACAACAACAATAATGTTAACCTTAACTAATAATGATACTAACAATAGCAGCATCCGCCACGCCTCGAAAACTCACTTGACTGAGCCTTCCCCAGCGAGGCAAATGTGGTTCAAACCCTACGGCCACGTAGCGGAGATGCGACCGCTGTGGCGAGCCTCCACCCCGGGACGACAGGCGTCGTGCGTGCTTCGCTTCCGTTTTACTAGTAATACTAGTATTAGATGTATACTTGTCGTCCTTTGCTCTTGGAGGCCTTCCTGGTTCAAATGTCTTGCGTGGAGGAGGCTGAGCCCATTCGCTTGCGCTTCTATCGTCAAACACCACGGAGTGGGCACAGGCCATCAATGCAGTTGAAGCGCTCAACGGCAAGTCGATCATGAAGGCCTTCCCTTCTCTTGAGAAAAGTTCTGAAAGATCAGAAGGCTTACGGCTTGCCAGGGGAAGCCCCTTCATCTGGAGTACTGGCATGGTCCCGTGGACGATGCAGAGGAGCCCCCACTAGAGTCCTCTGCGCCAACAGGCGGGTCAGTTGCTGCGCGTGGAGTGCTCGGCATCTTGTTGGCCCGACAAGCCCGAGACAGTCCAGGGTTTGGGGTTTCGGGTATAGGGTTTGGGGT